CACACACACACACACACACACACACACACACACACACACACACACACACGCACACACACCCTTGAGGCGGTACCAACTATTTTCAGATGCACAAGCACAGACACACAGTACAGTAAACAGACACCCACCCACCACCTGTTTTTGTGGGCAAACACACTTACATGTAAACACACACACTTCCCTCTGGACACACTACACCATTCAGGAAACATTAGCAACATTAGCCAGGAATGCTAATTGAAACAAACAGCTCATGGTTTCTTCATTTCTGAGGTGGGAGCTGGCTGTAATTGAGACTTCTGTGTCTGTGTGTGTTTGCGTGTGTGTGTGTGTGTGTGTGTGTACTTGCAAAGACAACCAGTTGTTCATGCCAGAGATCTGGGAACCATTGAACACTATTATTGTCCTGTTTTTTCTCCAGCTTTGCTTTCAAACACAAAACAGAGCAAATTGGTGGACATAAACACACATTAGTGCTGACAGAATCAGTGTTCCAGACCAAAGCAAACCTGATCTCTCTTACACTTCACAATTACATGCAAACACACACTCTCAGCTCCAATCAGAACGTATTTGGAAAGACCTCATTTAATGCAAAATAGAGATTCACGATGGAGTTGCCGCCTTGATGGCAGTTTAAAGAGACATCACATAACCAGCGGGACAAAAGGTCAGCCACCGCGGCCTTTTGAAGGGAAACTAAAGCTATACTTCATCCCAAACATCCCCCATGCAGTATCTGAGGCTCCCTTACCTGCACCAAAAGCAAAGAAGTATGTCTGGTTGGGATTTCTCTGCAGCAAGGCAGACACACGGCGAGCCATTCGCTCGTTGCGTTTGTAGATGAGCTCCTGGCGGAAGTAGCTGTCAATCTGCAGGGCGATCGTGCGGTCATGAGCTGGCAGGGAGCTGTTGATGAAGTGAGGCAGCTGAGGGAGTGAGAAAGGCCAAGAAGGAACATTTTTAATTTAAAAACATTTATGATGACGCACATGAATCATTTAAAGCAAACATCAAACACAAGAAGAACTGGTGTTCAAGAAATCGAGAGGGGTATAAAAAAAAAATGAGATGGAAAGAAAGAAGAGGACGGTGTTGGTGACAACCTGGCAAAATGTTGAAGGTTGCATGAGTGTAAGACCTGGCAACCGGGAGTGTTTGTGACGTGACAGCTTGACAGAAAAGGACCAATGCAGTGCTCTACCAGTTTTAAAATGAGAAAGCATCAATAAACGAGGAGAGGAAGGGAGGAGTACGGGCTGTCTCAGCACATTTTTGTATATGACGGCGTTCACTAACGTGTTTACGTGCGTGTGCGTCAGAGGTGGGCACACTGAACGAAGGCACGTGCACTGCACCCACCAGTGTGAGCGTGTGGATGTGTGTTTAATTGCTGCGTGATTTATTAAGAGCCAGGCAGGCGGAGGCGGAGGCGGACCACGCTGGCTCTGCGCCACACTTGGCTGCATCGGTGGATTCAACAGGCTGTTAATCTGTGAGGATGAGCGGGGGTCGGCGGCGGGGGTAGCCGGGGTCTGTCCGACTCACAGACACACCTAAACACACACAGTCCGTCTTTACTTCTTTCACTTCCTGTCATGGTATCATTGTGCCTGTATTTGACTTTCCTGGCTCTTTCTCTTGATATATATATGCAATAAAGTATGAAATATTAGAGATAGGTGAAATCCCAATACACCAGAGTATGCTTCATTTGGTTCGTTACTTCTTCTCTTGCCTTGACTGTTTTTACTGTTGTGGTGCCGCAATTATGTTCCATGTGTTGTCATTTCTATTTTGGACTTTAAAAAAAAACTGCAGTATTAACTGAACTCAGAGCAATCCTCCTCCCCCATTTTAATATTTCTGTGGGATCTCTGTTTCCGTTTCTGGTCCCTCTCGTACAACCAGGAGTACACCTGAGACTACCCAGCCGTCAGACTTTCTTCCCAAGTTGGAAAGAATCAAAAGTGATCGTATAAAGATCTGTAAACGTATTCGAGTGTGACAAGAACACACACATGCAAACATTAAACCTGAGTTACAATTGACACAAACATTAAAACAGCTGCAAATGATGCCTAAATCTGTGTGTGTGTGTGTGTGTGTGTGAATACTGAATACATGGGGGGGATTTATTGCACCACATGTGAAGAAGGTGCATCCATTCATAATCTGTATCTGACACTGTTTCTCTCACTCCCTCGACCGCCACTCAGTCTGTTTCACATGATGGTTGAAAGGTTCTAATTCAAACCTGCATCGCATGTTTATTTATTTCATTCGGCATGTGCATCAAAGGAGAACAGATAAGAAATTTACACGTCCGTTTACGGGTTTTTTGTGGAGCACAACTGCATAATGTGGAAGAAGTAGTTTGAAGCCTGGACGTCTGATATGTTGCCCTCAAGTGATGTCACTTGAGTCAGCGTTGAAGCTCACCGGCCCTCAGTAGTACCGCTCGGCGTCTCTGGCTAAGGCAAGAATATTTGACCCGACTGTCGGCAGTCAAGTGGCATTGTGGGTACTGTAGGCAGCATGCCATAGAAGACGAATGCGCCCTGGAATAAAAAGACATGTGATCTCTGCTTCTGCTGCATCAGTAGAGGATAGAGTCGAGTCAATTAACGGTTTTGCCAGTCTGGTCCGTTGTGAACGTGAACTGGTTCGATTTTACGCAAACCGACTGAATTTGTCATGATGTGCCGACCGCGTCACAGCGCTAACTGGCCTTGAGTTAGTAATGAGAAATATGACAACGTTCTAAACGGACTAACAGAGCCACTAGTGTCCGACAGGCCGCGAGCAATTTACTGCCGGCAACATGAAGGAGACGGAATTTCAGTAGCTGCAAGTTATGTTTGTTTCTTCTATTAAAGTTAATGTGTTCTTTTGGGTGATGAGGTGTCAAATGTGACACCTAGTGGTAAAAGTAGGAATAGCGGTCAAGGCAGGCGTTAGGTTTAACATCAAAATTATCTGAAAATATTTTCACTGGCCCAACCCTGATGGAGTACTCTTATTAAACACATTCACACCAAATGTGTGCGGTCCGTAAATACCAGCGTGTAGGATGGTGACATTTTGGAACATAGAACAGCTCTGTTGTCTACTTTGTCAAGCCGCCACAGAAAAACTCTTATCATAGTTTTGCTTTAACATGATCACAGACCTCCAAGTTCTGTGAAATTTCCTATTATTAGGATAAGCTTCTGCAATTTACAAAGATGAAACCATGTGTGCAGATTACTTTTGAAAGACCGCCATGTTTTCTGCCACAGTTTCACTCTCAATTGGCAGATTGTTCATTTCAAAGACCTGCAAATCCAAATGGTTTGTGTGACACGAGCCACATTGCTCACTTATCTCTACATATACTTACTCAGTGAGGAAAGAAAAGCCAGAAAGAAAGAAAGAAATTCACACAGATATCTGTAGCCTGAAGCCTTGTGTTGTCTGTCTGTGTATTTTCAGGGTGCATGACCCGGGTTCATTCAGACTGACAGGGGTTCATGATTGTTAAAGAGAGAGAAAGAGAGAGAGAGAGAGACGGAGCTTCATCATTGCTCTAAACGAGTGAGGATAGTGTGAGTGTTTCATGACGAGGTACAAAAAGTGTTCGGTCGGAGACGGGTCGAGGTGGGAGTGTAGCGGTAAACGCAGATAACTTATCACAGGGAAGGCCATTAGCTGCTGTGTATCCCGACCCGCACAGGAAATGTAGAGTGACAGGGAAATATTTCCTCCCTTTCCTCACCGCTGGTATCCCTCTGCACTCACTTGCAGTTTGTCTGCTCTGTCAGCAATTCACTGTCTTCATGGTTTGGCTCTTTGAAGTCCTTCTGTTCTCTTATCTTATCTTTCCTTTCTTTTCATGTCCCTTCCTTACCTTTCCCTTCTTGTCCTTTCATTTGCCTCCTCCTTTCCTTCTCCATCAACTTTCATCTTGGTGCTACAACTGCACTTTCAACTTTCAAGTGAGCTATTCGATTGCAACCTTTTGCAATTCTTTGAAGTTGCTTCATTCCTACTTGTCTTCTACCTTTCACCTTATTTCTTCTCCGTCTCATTCTCTCTGTCCACCTTTGACTTTATTTCTGTGATGGAAAGCGTTACCCTGTCCTGCACAGAGGCCCATCATCAACCTCTTTCTAATGTGACGGAGATTGAACTGGGGGAGCATCAGGGGTGCTGGATTCGGTCCTATCTATCAAAAAAACACCTGCTTTTTTATGGTGCTTGGAAGTTCACACACACACACACACACACACACACAAACCTGCTATAGATTACCAGGCTACATGGCACCACAGTCAGGCGTCTGATTGCTCTCGCATGTGCTGGGGAATGTTAATACAGGTTATCATGACATGAGGACCAGGAGGCGAACTGGTAGGATTTAAAGCGCTCATGCAGGAGACAAAAGCAGCCGCGACTGCAGGTGAAACTGTGGCTAACAAGCTCGTCGCGGCCCCCAGAGAGAGACGGCGATGGTAAAAATGTGAGATGTGTCTCTCGTGTAAATGATGCTGAATCTCTGCAGTGTAGCGGTGAGCGGAGGTTACATGGTGTGTTAGGTTTAATGACACTTGAGGATCAGTGAGGGGAGGTTGACACCAGCATAAGTGACTTATGAGGAGGGCTTTTCAGTAAATCTGCATTCGAGGGTGGAGACGGCGTGAGAGCCACTGTGTGTGTCAGTGTGTGCTATATATCGAGTGGCCTTTTGACAGCTACAGCAGAGCTGGGTGTGAAGCCCGATGAGGAGGCTGTCGCTGCAGGAGCAGAGGCTATGTTAGGAAGCACAGAGTTAGAGGAGGTCAGACGGCGTATTTACAGCTGGGTCCAGAGCTATTAAAGTGCCAGACTATCAAGTAACCCGAGCCTGAGAGGGATTAAGAGGGCAATGTGCAGTTTTGCGGAATTGATGTGCAAGCCTAAAAGTTTGAGGTGGCGATGGCGTAATGGCAGAGAAGTGGGTATGAGAAGGGCTGCCAGCTCAAATCAGGGGTCTGACAGATTTGGGTTTTTGAATACCATTACGGTTTTTTGGACTTAAGCTGCAAGTATAGCTGGTATTTTTTGTGACTATTTAATAATATCAGAAACCTCACCATTCCCTTTGTCCAACTAAACAAAACCAAAAAGCGACAAAGATTTACTTTCACTTAAGCTAAGGGAGGCTAAACCGGTGCTCTTGGTTGTCCCTGTAAAGTGAATATAAAAAGAAAGTAGAATTTAATTTAACACCAAAGCTGACATTGGGGCGAAGGCAGGTACAACAGTACAGTACAACAAGGCAGGTTCAACAGTACAACAAGGCAGGTACAACAGTACAACAAGGCAGGTACAACAGTACAACAAGGCAGGTACAACAGTACAACAAGGCAGGTACAACAGTACAGTACAACAAGGCAGGTACAACAGTACAACAAGGCAGGTACAACAGTACAACAAGGCAGGTACAACAGTACAACAAGGCTGGTACAACAGTACAGACTATCGCAGGACTGACACTAAGAGACAAACATTCACGCTTACATTCACAACGGGCAATTTAGAGTCATCAATTAACCCAAGCTGCTCGCACCTCAGGTATTTGTCAATTTGTGCAGATTATTGTTACTCAACACCTACAAAAAATGTATGGACGTGTCTGATTGCTGTCATGTGAAGCGTTTTGGAAACGATCTGAAGAAACGGGTCCATGGGAGCATGAAGGCAGCAACACATTTACAGCGGATTGTTGTTGGACCACATACAACTTTGTAAGTAGGAAAATATGGGAGATAATATGAAAAATGAAGGATTTTTTGGCAAAGTGCATCTATAGCGTTAGATCATTTGTATTATGTTTGGCAAGCCGCTCATACTCATTTTACGATCTTCACGTTGGCCCTTTTTGAAACTGGCTCTAATTGACTCTTTTAATGAAGCTGCAAAAGCGAACGTAGCTGAAAAGGAAAGCGAACAGGCAGTGAGACTAGTTTTATTTTAGGATGAACCTTGGTCCTCCAAAATCTAAAGGAGGAGACCGACCTGTGAGGTGTCGTGGTTGAAGATGATGGCGCTGAGGTCTCCACAGTTGTAGTGGGTAATGAGGTCCTCGGTGGTGTAGGAGCCCTGCAGGATGCCCGCGCGCACGCCCTCGTGCTGCAGCAGCGTCTGGTTCAACGCAAACAGCACCTGCAGGGAGAAAGAGACAGGAAGACTGTTACTTTCGTGTTCCTCTTTTAAAATATAAAGTGACGTTAATACACAATGAAGCCGTTGTTCTGCAGCGTTTTCATTTCTTTCAGGATATTTTCATACACTTTCCATTCAGGCTGACTACAGGTAAAGGCAGACCACAAGACACATGGCAAAACTCCACTGACTTTCTTCTGTAGGCCGGAGAAAACTGGGGAAGAAAGGGAGGGCGAGAGAGGGAGAGAGAGGGAGCCTTTAAAAACAACCCTTCTTTCTCTTTCACCAGGCCAGGGTACTGTAAATTTACAGCCGCCATTAAAATCAAAAGTAAACCCTCTTTAGAGAGAATTTATAGCGTGCAGCCGCCAGCCAGCCCGACAACTTTGCAGCTGTCCTCGACACCAGGGGTTAACCTAGCTGCTCCCACCCTCCACAATCCCACGCCACCTCTGATTGGCCTAGCAGGCGGGACCGAGTTGTCAATCACTGTTAAACTCTCTTACAGGAGATGTTTCTTCTCTCTGTGTGTACTACGGATTTCGCACAGTTCTACATTGCACCCAGTGAGGCGGTTTGCGTTGACTTGATTAGAACAAGTGACTCAGCCCATCATGTCTTCAAACAGCACCCGACTGATCCATGTCTATGATCCTAATTACCGAGAAACCTGACTAACGCTTCGGAAAATACTGCAGGGAGAACGTCAGCATCCCGGCCCAGATGATTTGTGGAGCAGCTTAAGGCCGATACAGCTGCACAACTGATGGAGCCCGATGTCAAAATTCTGGGTCGTAATTCAGACAATTATGTTATGTTTTCTTAATCATAAATGCCCATATCGTCCATATTGAATGTTTCAACTCCAGGTAACCCTCACGCTGGGATAATCACAACCAAGCTCTAAGCTCAACCTTGTGATTCCCTCTCTCTCTCCGTCTCTCTGAGGTCATTGCTAACCAGCCTTTGTAGGCTCAGTTTTTGCTTTAGTGCGCTTTTTCCCCCCATAATGCAGAGAGACAACGGATGAGCTAACGGCACACATATCCTCTCATTATCCCCTCTCATCTTCTCTCTTTTCTCCACTTTCTCTTCAGAAGAGTGCCCGTCCTCTTCTCCTCTGCCAGCTCCTTCCTCCTCCTGTCCAACCCAAAACCGAGTCTGATCTTATTTATTCTTTTTGACATCTTTCTGCTATGCTCAGCGCCACGCTACCGCTCAGCCAGAGGCGCGTAATCCAGGAAAGGGTCTCGATCAAATCTGTGACCATTTCCCAAACCCAGAAGCCCCCCTGCTGTGTGAGTTATGGCACTATACCTCATTTTATTTTCTATTTCCATCCCACTTCAGATTCTTTTAAAGCTCTAAAATCATGGTTGAGGTGTGATGCCAGTGCCTAGCGTAGCCAACACTGTTCATTCTGCCTGGCGACTAACTAGCTACAGTAGCTAATTCTGCTTCTGCAGTCGCTGATTCTGTTCCAATGAGTTGCCACTGCCCCGAGTCTTTGACCCACGGGGCTCTTTGCCACGGCTCGAGGGTTTTTCCAAAGGAAACACCAGAGCGGGCTCTGGGTAGAGTCGAGGGCTGGAGCGGGCAGAGCACACACACACACACACACACACACACAGACACACACACCTGCCAGGCTGTTTGTACTACTCCCAGCTCCGGGAGTTTCCCTTAACACGGGCAAACAGCACCAGACATGACAGACAAGAGGGCGCAGTAGAGGGTGCATGGTAAGAGCGGAGGGGTTGTGTGTGAATGATTGTGTTGTTAGGGGAGTTGTTATTTCAATATTGTCCGTCTCCCGGGGAAAGAACATCTCTGCAGCTGTAACCATGGCGCCTGAGTGTGTGCTGGGCTGAATGAAAGAGCATGTCAATCACTGCGGGAGAGGCTGAGGGGGAGAGAGGAAAAAATGCAAACATTCCCCGTGTGTGCATACTCGCATCTATACGTGTGGATGTGTGTGTGTGTGTGTGTGTGTGTGTGTGTGCGCGCACACGTGTCGGCTGACGGAGTGGGTGTTCTCATGCTGAAGCGGTCCGCTCACTCTTTTACAGCCCGGCCTTTTCAAAGTAACTAACATTGACTTCTCTCACCACGTAGTTTACTACTGCAGGTCTCTCTCTCCTCTCTTTTCTAATACATGCGTGAGAAACAACCATTGTAATTAAATGAAAAGCTTCATAAGAACAAAGCTGGAAGGAGCCGAGCACTCGGATGGTTTTGGAACCTGCGATGTGAGCGCAGCACTCCAAATATTCATTAGCGTGCGTTGGAAAGAAAACAGGAAAAAAAAGGGGGGTAGGAGCAGGAGTAACATAGAAAAAAGAAGAAATCAGAGAGATCTTTCATGTTTCAGAACATGTGACTTATCAACATGTGTGTGCATTGCAGCAATTGACCTTGAAGTGCGTTAAATCCTGGCTGTTTGCTTGCAAAAGTGTCGGCTTGTTTGAAGCTTTAACGGGTCTGAAGCATGAGTAGGTGCCGATGACAAGGGGCTCTTGTCGACTCCGTCAACCCCCTCTTAGACCTCCTTAATCTGAATCAGAGAATGTGAGTGATGGAGAGTGCTAAAGGGCTTCGAGCTGCGATACAACAGAAGGAAGTGTCAGACTGTGGAGGCCAAACACTGAAAATATCGTACCCAGGATTATATTTTCCTTTACAGCTGTAGGAGGCAAAACAATGAAACACAATGCTGCACACGGATGGAGAAAGAAGAAAGAAAGAAGAAAGGAACGGAGGAGCAATAGCAGGAGAGCAGAGAACAAAAGCAGGAGAGAGGTGAGAGTGTGAAAGAATGGTATAAGACAAACAAAGCCTTGTTCTCTATGAGAGCAGCATGTGCTGTACAGATGGAGGTGATTCCTCTACAGTTCGGGTATAGGCCTGGCATGGGCACCGGGTATTACCAGGCAGTCAGGTGCTTAAAAAGCATGATGGTGCGTGCCAGCGTCAGGCAGGAGATCTGAGAAGGTTTGTTCCTTCACACATCTCCCTCTTTCTCCCAGCTTTACCCAAGATATTTCTCTCAGTAGATCTATCCATCCCCTTGTTTTGCTCACTCAACTTGTTGTCCTCTCAGGTGTTATGTGTAACTCTGAATCTCATATTTAGCACCTTTAAACTTATGCACAGCCGTGTTTTGAGCTAAATGTTAATGTCAGCATGCTCATCCTTCCGTCAAGACGCTGTGGGTTAGTGTAACGCTACCACTGGTAACCGCTGTACGAGTGCAGTGCAGAGGTGGGGGGCCATTACCTAGCCGATGGAGCACAAAAGAGAGACTCACATGCACTGAAACGCAGCCGTGGCCGGCCCGCCTATGTCAACAAAGCACAGAGAAGCTCAGATAACAACACACGCAGAGCGAGAGAGACTTCATTCTCTGCTCAGGTAGACAGTACTCCACAACATCTTTGCAAATAGCTGTTTGCTGCTATATTAATGCTCTGAATCCAGTATATGGAACATTTAAGAAATATTCTGGCATCTCTGAGTTCCATCCAGTCAAACAGAATGGGGAATTCCGTTCTTTCTCTGTCTTTATCTCTGGTCATCCAATCAGCCCCCGATGAAGGAAAACAGTACAAACAGTTTGAGGTTTGTGCGTTCCCCTCCAGCGCTCTCGTCTCCCTGAGAGCCGCTTGTGTTTCATCGCCTGAAAAAGAGAGGATCTAGACCCCTGACCCAGGACACGCACTGCTGGGTTCCTCTGGGCCGAGTCAGCCTCCCCCACCTGGGCTACAGATGGTAAGAGGGGATTGGGTTCACAGCACCCTGGGGTGACTGAAGGAAAGGGAGTTGAAATAACATCCAGGGCAACCCAAGAATAGGAGAAGTGCGATAGCTCATCCCCGTTCCCCACAGAGCAGCCCCCCCCCCCACACCCCAAAAGAAAGGGTGGATACCAATTTGTGTGAGTGTACTTTCCCCTCCACAGCCACAGCCGAGAGCCATGAGAGATTTCATTAAAAAACACCCATGTGTCCATTGTCGTTAACCATGTGCTATCTCAGTATGACTTCACGCTTAGATGTGCATGTAGCAGTGGCAGGGGTATTTTAAAAGCCTGACGTTGTCTGACCTTTTAGTTCACGCTAGCACTGAAAAGCACCTTGAATATATTACGCTGAAAAGACGTTGTCACACAAGACCACATCAAAGTTGTCTGGACAGTCTCACATGATAGCTTCACTGTTGTGTCCTACGGTTTTATCAACAACTCGCTCCTTCTCATTTCTCTCCGAGGGAATCGTGTAATCCGTCTCGACCTCCGTCGTCATAGCATTGCCAAAATAGTTTTACAGCCCTTCGGCGCCTTTCTGCGCGTATCGTTTCCTTGTTTAAAGGTAGCACCACTTTCAACTTTATCACATCTGGCATGAGCTACGGCAAGCCAGAGCCTTGCTTTTTTTCGAATGTATCCCTGTAAATAAACCACAATACACATGCATGCACACTCACATATACAACCACCCATAAGCACACACGCCAATACTTGTACACGTCACATTCTTCTTTGAGCAATAACCTGTATACCAACCACATATTGCAGAAAATGAAAGAGAGGACATCTCAGACAGCGCCGATATTGTGAATATTGTGTCTCCTTTGTCTCCGCCTTTCTTTCTCTTCCCACTTCCTTTCTGCCTTCTCTCATTCCCTCTCTTTCTCTGTCTCACTAAGTCTCTCACCGGGCCTGGCCTACCCCCTGTCTCAGTTTAGGAAATCCAGGGATTACCAGAGGGACAATCCCAGTGGCCTGCTGCTCCCAGCTTCCACAGAAAGCCCCCCCCTCCTGCTTCCTTCCATCTTGTCTTATTGGGGTGAGTGTCTAGTGATGGGAAGTATCCCACTTTTAGCTTGGAATGGTAAAAATCTTCTAAACATCCATCTCCTCCTTGTCTTTTCCTCATCCTTCATTCCTCTGAATAAAGTTTGCTCCTATCCGTTACCATCCCCCCTTTCTCCGCTTGCTCTTC